TTCGATGTGAAATCCAACATATTAAAGTGTATCACAACTTTTAAAAAAAATTGTTTCGAACTTGAGGCTTAATTAGTGACACATCACCACCAATTTGATTTTAAATCCAATAGTTGACAATAACTATGGCCTTCTTGTTTCAAAAATAAATGATGTCATCAAACACATTTCCTTTATATATTACCTCAAACCCTATCTTAAATAGTAAAGAAACATATCTATATAGAAAAAATACCCCTATAAGTCCAGGTAGGGAACTTCCCCCAAAGGGGCCACAGCCCCTAACCCCTTAAAATTAGGGCCAATGAGCAAGTGGGACCAAAATCAATATAAGATACATATTGAATCACACAGTTCAAACACATTCATAAAGGAACTGATCCAAATAGCTTGTGTCATTTATAGGTAGTTGTTTATATGAGCCAGGCTAATATGGACCTTTCCTTTTTTGTTTAGATATGATTTGGACCATGGATAGGCGCACCATGCTTCTACCATGGCCTCTCACATGAATGGTCCAGATTATTCTTGCGCATTGTAATATTGGTTTAAAAAACGCATGGCTTATTGAGACCCTCATGAGCAAGGCTCATTAAATTCTTCCACAAAAACACCCTAAAGAAATGATACATTCACCCTCCCACTATAGATTATAGAGTTCAAAATTCTGAACCGGCCCCGACTCCAAAGTTCTGAGTTTGACTAGGCAATTCTCGAGCCAGACACATTTAATAAAGAAATAAAAAAATATATAAAAAGTCGAGGATATGAAGCAATTATAGGGTTTCTGGAATCAGAATCACATGCTTGGTTTTTTTGATCTAGCTTAAGCGATTCTGAATCAAATCAACAACTTTTGACGCCCCTTTTCCCTCAAACTTACCAATATGACCCATCTCTCGGCCCTCGATCTGGTCTCAAACCATCAGAATCGAAGGGCCACTCAAAGTTTTATACATCTCACATGTGTGAGATACAATGTGAGAATGTTGTGATAGAAACGTGGCACGTGTCAAGATTTTTTAGGGTAAAGCTTGTTTTCTATCACCAAATTATGGAAAATAAATGGGGGTCCCTTGGACTCTAGCAAGGAAATGAGGCCATAATAGAATGTAGGCTTCTCGGGTCCCTTGCTCAAATAATGTGGCCAAATGTGGGGAAGATCAAATATTTAGAGAGAGAAGAGAATAGATCCAGGTCCAATGCTTTGTCTATCAATGCATTCAATGAGCTCTTGTGTTGCATTTCTCAAAGGTCTTGGGCATGGCTTGGGGGGAACCACCAAACCCTAGATGATACGTCATTTTTTGGGGCTTTTAAGCCATATGTTCTGTGTGTTGGTGGCGAAATTTAATTATGAGAAATCTTTGGGGTCATGTCCCCGAACTTTTAGGGATGGGATCCTCATCTTGTGAAGTATGAGAGAGAGATAGAGAGAGGAAAGGGGTTGGGTTGTGGTGGTAGCACCTCCCTATCTAGTTACCATGATCTGGTTTTCAATCTTGCTAGCATTACTTCCTAGCACTTTAAAAAAAGCTAACTCCCTAATCTACCTGAAAAAATAGGTAGGGGTGTGCTTCCCCCACTGAATCACCTATAAAAAAACAAGAAAAGAAAAAAACTGAGGTTTTATATCAAGCCAATGTTAGTGCGTGTGTATGTATAAGAGAGAGTCTATATAAAGAAAAAAATAATTTCCCATTCGTATCACTACTTTTTTTTTGTAATTTATTTTTCTGAGTTTTTCGTTTTATCAGATGTTCCAGACATCGAACCGCTATCATTTATTTTGTTATTTTAATTTTATGAAATGTAGAGACCAATCCGAGGTTCTAGACCTTCCTCATCTTGGATTGGTTAACATTGTGGAAGCCAAGTGGTTCATCGTTTGGAACCTTGGGCCGGTCTTTGGATTATACAATTCGCAGTCTAGCTATCGGTCCAAGGCCTAGGACCTCAGACCTCGGACCTCTTAGCATGCACAATGATCATGCAACCCAAGCTGCCTGAGGTTTAGAACCTCAAACTTGTTAGGATTTAAGAACCATTTTAGATCCGAAAATAGGAATCCCAAAGTTGGAACCCACCAAGATCGTGTACTTATCCAGTTAGAAACAAAATAGGAGAGCGCACGAGCCATAAATGAGAAATAGAGTATAAAACACATACCTCATAAGAACACAAAGATTTATGTTGTTCACCTCAAGATGACTACATCCACAGGCACGACAAACTGAAATCCATTATACCAATGAAAGTTACATTACAGATTTGGGGACAAAGAGTTACCTCTCTAATCCTTGACAAGACCTAGTCGAACAAATCCTTTTAGACCCGCTCTCCCGATCGGAACGACCTACCGATCTCTCATATGTATTCTATAGCTAAACTCTGTCCAAGAAGAGGCCATCTTTATTCCACAGCTAAACCACTGTCCAAGAGAAGAACATTGAGTGCAACTGAGACTTTCTCTCTTTAAAAGAGAAAACTACCTAAAATCTTAACCACCACAAATCTTCATGTGAACCCCTTCTCTACAAGAAACCAACATCTCAATCACACGAGGCACATCGGAGTGTTTTTCTCTGTCAGAAGCTCTCTTCTCTCTTAGGGGAAGCCTTGCCTCTCATACACAAGAGGCTCTTGCTTCTATCTCTCTAGAGGAAGCCACCAGTCCTATATGGTGACTCAAATAGGACACATAAATTCTCTGTACTTTCATCCCATATATATAAGGTTAGGAGTCCACACCAAATAAGAAACTTTTTATAGATGTTACATATATCTCAAGAGATATATCCCAGAGTCTTAACCTTTTTAGATTTCTATTTTATTTAGAAAACTTATCAATATCAATTACAATCCTACATAATATGGTATTTTTCTATGTGGGTGATTTTGGATAATCACCATATCCAACAAAACCGATCCCAAGACTGAAATTCACAATACAGGGACCGGTCTGAGGTTCCAAATCTCGAATTGTTTGGTTTACATCATTTTCATAGAAGCCAATGGATCAGAGGTTCTAGACTTAAGACCCGTCCCCACATTTAAAAAAATTAAAAAAATAAAAGGTATGATGTTTGAGACATCAAACAGAGGGGCAAAATTGGAAAATAAATAAATGGACCTCCCCATAAAATATGCAACGATTTGGACTTCCGCTTAATTCTCTGTTTTATTTATGGTAAGGATGTAATTTTTCCTTTATATAGTCATTGTTAGGGTGTGTCTATGTGCCTAACTACAAATATCACATGTTTTTGTTTCAACATAATATGAGAGTACCAACTTAAATTGTTCTAGCCCAAGATGGACGTTTGTGGAGACGAGTTATTTTAAAAAACTGATAGGTGACATGGATCAAGCATAGAAAAAATTGATCTGAATTGGCAGTCCGAATCGTCGTTTTATTGTGTAGAAAAAATAGTGAACTAGCATGCAAAAAAAGTGAACCGGCTAAAGACTGGTTTGGATCGGTAAATCGGCATTTTTATTGCATTAAAACGACGTTTTCTATAGCAAATTGCCGGTTCTCTTCTTAACTAGGATGATTTCCTATACATTGATAGAATCGTTGGATCGGGCGACACCTCACCAACTTGGCGTTTTTTTAAATCACTGATGTAGACTAATATTTGGACCTAAAATAACGAGAGACTACAAATATTGGCAACTTAATTTAAAGAAAGAGAGAGAGAGCAATTGCAAATCATACTACATGGACCAATTTTGGACTCAAATTAGGATAAGACGAAAACCCAAAACAGAGGAGACAACCATTGGTAACCCCATTCAAAACTGTATTTTTTGCTCATCCCTCCTCCAATGCTTGATAAATTCATGCATAATTAGTTTGTTGCTAACCAACCCATGGGTAGGGAACCATACACTAGAAAGCCCAACATTGGCACTTGATAAGAGAGGAATACATCCATCTTTAACTCATATAACCTCAATGTAACTCTTGTGGGCCCTCATCTTTTCTTGGGCCCATTCATTTGATATTTAAGCATTGTTAAACCTTATTGCATGATATTTAAGCATTGTAATACAAAGGGGATTCTATGTTTAAAGGTTCCATCAGTCATAAATCAATGGCAAAACTGTAAAACATTATCTAAAAGGAACCTATGGCTGCAGGACATATAGAAGTCACATATTTATTAATCATGGGACTTAGGTTTGTACAGTGGTAAAAAGGAGAGGAGACGAGGTGAGAGAAAGGGGTTTTCTCAGGAGAAAGACAAATGGTAATAGTGTGAAACAGTGAATAACTTAATGAGGGGAGCTGGTACAAAGAATAGGCCCCCACCACCCCTCCTTTGTACCAAGGGCCTAAGAGAGGAGCTCCATTGCCTTGGTGGTCCCTAGGAGGACCAGTGTGATTGTGATATGATAGAGAGGCAGGTCGGTAACGATGTGTTCGTAGAACTATCTTCTCTCTCTCTAAAAAAAACCCTACCCCCCTCTCTCTCTCTCTCTAACAAACCCTA